CACTCAGACCAGCACAACACACACTAACACACCACCACCACGTCAGCGTTACTGCAGTGCTGAGAATGATCCACAATGATAGTGTATGTGTATATCTATATTAATATTGCCTTCGTTGTGGCTGTTGACTGTCATTGTTAGGTTGCAGACGTGTGAGGTGGAGCATACCTGCCATTATCTGGAGGTGCTGACTTTAAAATGTCTCTTTTCCAATCACATTGTAAGGTCTGAATGTAGTGTGGTGTAACGTTTATTTGAAATAAGTGTTTTATGTTTGAGTACAGAATTAACTAATTAGTCATGCAAAGTGAGTTTTTTTGTGGTATAAAAGTTTAGATCAAATTATTGTTATATTGTGGGCTACACAAAATGACAACAGTGACTAACTGCACAGATTTCAAATGCGCCAATGCACAGTGGTGCAGTGGGTAGCGCTGTCGCCTCACAGCAAGAATGGCCTGGGTTCGATTCCCGTCCGGGCGGGCTGCCGGGGTCATTTCTGTGCGGAGTTTGCCTGTTCTCCCCGTGTCTGCATGGGTTTCCTCCGGGTACTCCGGTTTCCTCCCACAGTCCAAAAACATGCAGTCAGGCTGATTGGACGTGCTAAATTGCCCCTAGGTGTGAGTGAGTGTGTATGTCTGTCTGTCTGCCCTGTGATGGACTGGCGACCTGTCCAGGGTGTATCCTGCCTTCCGCCCAATGACAGCTGGGATAGGCTCCAGCACCCCACCGCGACCCAGAAGGATAAGCGGTTTAGATGATGGATGGATGGATGAATGGATGTTCTTGAGCAGTTAATGATAATTTTATTTTCATTTAAAACAGTTGAGAACTCATTCATAGCGGTTATCCTGGCTCATTTATTTTGTCGTGATGTGTTTTTAATTAGTAACCTATTTTTTTTATTTTTTTAAATTCTAATGGTTTCGGCCCTGCGTTGTTGATCAGTTATCTTTATTGACTCAAAAATTACATCCCTGTTACATAAGGTAACAGGAATCCTGGTACTTGCAGATGGTAACTGTATCAGGAGGTTGAGACACATTTACATGCAGCCTGATAATAGGTTAATAATCCAACTAATAGCTCAATGGGAATAGAATACGTCCATGTAAACACCTCAATCAGAACAGTCTAGTCCGATCGAGGCCATTCAGAATACAGTTTCTATCCGATTGATCGAGGTGGGTAATCCTGTAAATAACCTGTTAAATAGAAGAATAATATCCGTGTAAACGCCTGTATCTGATTACATTCCCTATCGGAAAGTTTAAGTCCGTTCTGATCATGTTCGTCACGTCATAGTGAAAGTTTATACCGTTCAACATGGCGGAGCAGAAACTGGTCTGCAGAGGAGACGAAGTTTATGCTCTGATCTTTAAAAGACGGCGGTGGGACGGACGTCCAGCTTATGTGTCTCAGAACACGACGTCTTCCTCTCGGCCTTCTTTAATAAGGACATGTGAAGGACGTTTTCCTGAGTCTGACATCATTTTAAAGCAGTTAAAAACACAAGCGCTGCTCACTGCTGCTCATCTCACTCTGACTGGACTCACGTGATGCTGCGTAATTTTGGATCTGATTACTTGTAGTGAAAATGTAAACGGAGATTTTCCATCAGAGTGTTGAGTAGAGTGAGAATAAACACCTCAGTGTTGATCTATAATCAGAATGTATTCAATCAGATTGATAAAACTCTGTGCATGTAAACACAGCCATTGTTCTGATAGGCTGTTGTTCCATTGAAGTTTCTGTTTGTGAGCTTTAGCTCTTAACCTCCTGCCTTTTTTATAGGAGCTGCATTTCCTCTTTTGTAATACGCCATCAACTCAGGACACTTAAAAACACTTTATGTCTTTTTAGACCAGCCCATCTGCAGTTTTGTTACCCAATTTGTGCCTGTGGCCATTTATAGAAATCTCATTTTTCTGCTTTTAAAGCGTTCCCAGTGTTTTGTGTACTCGTGTAGCTAATGGCCTGTGTCTGATCTCAGTGTCCAGAGTCTTAAAGCACCCATGTGAAAAGGATGGACTCCTAACCCAAATGCAGCGTTTGGTTTCTGTGCTGTTTGTGTCAGTAAACCTTTGTACTGAGGAGGAGAGGAGGGTGTTTGGAGAGGAGGGGAGAGGATGAGGTTTGGGTGTGACTTGCTCAGGTTGTTCAGATGCTTCATCAGCATTTTATTTGTCAGAAACAGTGAAGTCTTGAATATCTGAGGATAGCTGTGTTTATTTTGAGCAAAGGCCACAGTCTCAGTACATTACAGCGGTTCACTTCGGCATAATGTCACAGTGAGGTTAACGACGTAACAACAGTGTCGTAACATAGAATAATTCTTTTCTTTATATTATAATGTAACAGGTGATTTGCTCTGTCACTTTGGTGTCTGAATATTTTGGAGAAACTGTTACTGATGAACTGTGACTGATATCTTGTTCATATTTTTCAGCCTTTCTGTTCACTAAACCTAAAACAGGCCCAACAGATTTGATCATTTTGTCACTGAGACCGATTTAAAGGAGCTACAATTTTGGAAAATAAAAGTTTGGCCCACATAATACTGTTATATACAGAGCCCTGCTGGTGTAAATAAAAATAATGCATGGCCACTGCATATTAACATGTGGGAATGAGATTCTAAATCATGGCCATGAGTTAGTAAGGCATGGGAATGAGATAATTAAGTTGTGGCCACAACTTAGTAAGGTGTGGGAACAACATAATTAAGTTGTAGCCATTACTTAATAAGGCATGGAAATGAGATAATTAAGTTTTGGCCACAACTTAGCAATGTGTGGGAATGAGATCCTAATGCATGGCCATGAGTTAGTAAGGCATGGGAATGAGATAATTAAGTTGTGGCCACAACTTAGCAATGTGTGGGAATGAGATCCTAATGCATGGCCATGAGTTAGTAAGGCATGGGAATGAGATAATTAAGTTGTGGCCACAACTTAGTAAGGTGTGGGAACAACATAATTAAGTTGTAGCCATTACTTAATAAGGCATTGAAATGAGATAATTAAGTTTTGGCCACAACTTAGCAAGGTGTGGGAATGAGATCCTAATGCATGGCCATGAGTTAGTAAGGCATGGAAATGAGATAATTAAGTTTTGGCCACAACTTAGCAAGGTGTGGGAATGAGATCCTAATGCATGCATGAGTTAGTAAAGCATGAGAATGAGATAATTAAGTTGTGGCCACAACTTAGTAAGGTGTGGGAACAAGATAATTAAGTTGTGGCCCTGACTTAGTAAGGGGAAATGAGATAATTAAGTTGTGGCCACGACTTAGTAAGGTGTAGGAATGAGATCCTAATGCATGGCCATGAGTTAGCAAGGCATGGGAATGAGAAAATTAAGTTGTGGCCACAAATTAGTAAGGTGTGGGAACAAGATAATTAAGTTGTGACAATGACTTAGTAAGGCATGGGAATGAGATAATTAAGTTGCGGCCAAGACTTAATAAGGTGTGGGAATGAGATAATTAGAATGAGATCATGCCTTTTTAAGCTCTGGTCAAGGCTTAATTATCTAATTCCCACAATTTACTAGGTTGTGGCCACTCATCAGGATCCCGTTCCCATGCCTTACTAAGTCATGCCCACAACTTAATTATCTCATTATTTTTATTTATACAGGATGTCACCAGGAGGGCTCTGTAGTTAGAAACTGAACAGATTCAAAAAGTTGTTGTTGGTCATTGTTGACTGATGTACTTCAGTTGTCAGCTGTGAATGATCAGATATGATCGTCAGTTCTCAAATGTCAGATTTCTTACCATTCAACACTTGATGACTGGAGAATTCCACTCTTTATTTCTAACCTACACGTTTTGGCACATAGTCCTTCCTCTGGGTTTAAGAGAATAATGATACACAAAGAACAGGAAGTACAATTTAAAGCAACTTTAAAACAATACTGTGCAAAAATCAGAGACCACCCTTTGTTTGGTTAGTTTCCAAAACAGTCATTAAGCACAAGTTATTTATTTTCAGCAGATCTTTCTAAGGAGATTAGATATGATATAATCCACTTGCATAAAGAAAGAGAAAGTCAAAGTGAAAAAAAAGGAGTTTCCAAAACTGATTAAAAACTACAGAGAAAATGGGGCCCCTAACAACCACCTGGAAGACCTGGTCGACACCAAAACTGCCCCCATCAGATAAACAGCACTTAAAGCTTTCATCTCTGAGAGAGAGGAGAAAATCAAGCTGCTTCAGATCTGAAAACATCCACAGATGTTTCTGTCCATCCTTCCACTATGAGAAGACGACTCAGCGCTGTGGGTCTGAAAGGATGTGTAGCTGTCAAGAAGAACCTCACTGAGAAAAGGAGACGGACACATCAAACAAAGAAGCTGAACGATGGACTGACCACCCCAGAGTCCAGACCTCAACACCACTGAATGTGTTTGATTACTTCAGAAAATGATCAACCAGCTTCTAAGACTGAACTTTGGAGGTGTGTCTGCAGATTCTTTGAGGAACTGAAAGTGAGTCTCCTGAAAAGAATGGAAGCTGGAATAAAGGTGAAGAGTGACACACTGAACACTCAAACAGCTGAGAGTAGATTTATGTGTTGAGGTTTTTGTGTCGTTTCCTGTTAAATATTTTTTTGTGTTTCCTGAATCTGGAAAATTAATAACTTGTACTTAATTGCTGTTTTGGCGGGAAGTTATGCAACACAGGGTACCTGACATTTGCACAGTACTGGCTTCTATGCCAGATACCAAAGTGATAAACCTACACTGCCCCAAAGCTGAGTTACACGGGTGAAAGAGCTCCATCCCAGCAACCAACACAGGTTGAGTTCTCACAAGATATACTTGTTCATGCATCTCAACAGCTATGACTTTTTTCCCCATGAATCATTTATGCGCTTGAAAATTCAGAAAAGTTTCAAGGAGGAATGTCTTGCATGTTGTGCTCTCTCTGATCCCTCTGTCTGTCTTCTCCTCACCCATGGGATCCCGCTCACTCTTCTTTCTCCTCCCTCAGGGGTTGGCAAGGCCTGATCGCCCAAGGATGTCACTCCAGCATCCTTATTATCGATCCTAAGACTGCTCAGACTATTCAGGTCCTGGAGAGGCACAAAGCCAATGTTGTCAAGGTGAGTTTGAAAACTTTCTGGAACTCTGTCACCGCTAAACACTGATTGGAGGACAGATGAATCATGGGGGAGTAACATCTTGAAGATGGTTCATCTAGGCTATTGATTAGCTTATTAACCCTGCTTAACTGTGAAGTTTCTGTCAAGTGCAGCAGTCGAGATGCGAAGAAAGTCATTCAGAGTGGTTTGGTGTGAAACGGTTCAGATTTCTTTACAGTGGTGGTGATAGGAACCAGGGGTCGCCATGACTACAACACAAATATAGACATTTTATTTACTATCCAGAACCACCAGTGAACCTACACGAGTCTTCTGAGTTTTTATATGTGTTATAAACTGGTCCAGGACACCATTTAAATAAAAAAAAATTCTCACACTGTTAGAAAGAGCATTTCAACCATTCAGTCAAACCACTCTGAAAGACTTTGTTTACCTCTTAATAGTTTAATTGTGCAGAAAATTTAAAACATGAGTGGAATTCTCCTTTGCTCGTAGATATATTTTGGTTTTTCTGTCTGAATTTACATGCCCAAATCGTAAGGCAAATTATTCAGTAACTGCATGAAATGCTGTAATTTTAAAGTTCCCCTGAAATGAACAGAAAATGTGTTTTATAATACACATATTGCTATATGCTTACAGTTTACTGCTGAAAGCCAAAAATCTTAGACACTCTTTGTATTTTTTTATAATAATAATTTACAGAGCAGATCACTGAAGAGACGCCATCTGTTTATAGTTTATAGCTCAGATTTGTGGAAAAATGGGTCGACTTTCAGTAGACAAAAAAATTGTGAGTTCAGCTTCTTTTATTATAAGGGTTTAAAATTACATCACCCATCTATTTGACTGGAAAGATGACACATCTCATGTGACCCCCACCTTTTGAATGAAGCTTATAAAATATGAAAGTTATGAAGTAAAGAATATGACGAAGTGTGTTTTGGAACCACCGGTGGTTCCAAGGAGTTAAAGAGGTTAAATGGTCAATGGTAATGATATAATCCTTTTGGCCTATAAAGTCTGTAGTAATTTATTATCCACTAAAAAGTAAATGTTGCTGACACTAACCTGCATCTGTTTTGGAAGAATAAAGTTGGTAAATGTTAACATTTTTGCCTTTTTGTGTCTCACTATTCTACACTTATTCTGCCCGAGGCTTCAAACACAGACCCTTCAGTCAGTCATTGCAGCGTTTCTGATTCTAAATGCATATCTCTTAGTAATGTATTTCAACACGAGAGGAAATAGCTTTTGTATTAGACCATATCCCCTCTTTACGCTTAGCTACATCTTTCCAAACTTTGTGCTTTTACACGAAACACAACTCATTTTAGGCTAATAAAGCAAGCATAATGATCGTCCAGTCCAGTGGCCAATGCGGTAACAGTCTTCAGAGTATTGGTTCGTTTTTCCGAGCAGTGCAACAGGGAGGGATGCTACAGATTTGGCTGCACTTCATCAGTGATGTTCCGGTGTTGAGGCGAATGCGTGTGGCCGGTGGCTGCGTGCTCGCCTCATGAGTAATGGCCCATAAACAACAGTGCGTTTATCAGCAGCGGCGCCCTGCTCCTCCTGCTACTTATTTCTCACCCCGCCGCGCACTTTAATCTTGTAAACCGCACTGCTCCTACACCGGCTCATTCCTCAACGCCAGCCGCAAAGTAAGCAGCAGACAAATGGGAGGAATTGTCGAAGTGTGGCGCGTGCCAGGCTGCGCATGTCTGCGGTTATTCAGACGTCCTAGTCGTCTGCGTTCTCTGGTTGTGGCTTCATAGCCGTTTAGACTGTCCTGCTCCATTAGTTTCAATGACTTTCCAAATTTGTGCATCACCAATTTGGCTGTTATTGGATCTGCTTTGAAGTCTCCTGTCATCTGTGTTCTACCTCTTCTGTGTTTAGGTGAAATGGTCCAGAGAGAACTACCACCACAGTCTCAGCTCTCCTTACTCCCTGAGGCTGGCCTCGGCTGACGCCTCAGGCAAAATCATCGTGTGGGATGTGGTGAGCGGCATGGCGCACTGCGAGATACAGGAGCACAGCAAACCTATCCAGGGTGAGAAAACTAACATTTGGATAATTACAAATAAACGTTAATATAATATATAGTCATTTTAAGTCTGTCTGATAGCTTCTCATTTCAAAATCTCTTCTCTAAGCAGCCCCATATTTACATATAGTACATGGAATGAGTGCTTCATTAACTCAGGCGTTCTGGTGACGGAATTGAACTAGGGATGCACCAAAATTTCAGCCACCAAGAATTACTTTGTGAAAATAGTGAAAAATGGCACAGCCAAAAAACATGCCTATGATAGATAGGTAGGTAGGTGGGTGGGGAGGTAGGTGAGTAAATAAGTAAGTAGGTAGGATGGTAGGTAAGTAGGTATGTAGGTGAGTAAGTAGCTAGGTGGGTAGGTGAGTAAGTAGGTACGTAGGTAGGTGGGTAAGTAGGTGAGTAAGTAAGTAGGTAGGTAAGTAGGTATGTAGGTGAGTAAGTAGCTAGGTGGGTAGGTGAATAAGTAGGTAGGTAGGTATCGTAGGCAGGTGAGTAGGTAGGTGAGTAACTGACTAGGGAGGTAGTTGAGTAAGTAGGTAGGTGGGTAGGCGAGTAAGTAGCTAGGTAGGTATTGTAGGTGAGTGAGTAAGTAGCTAGGTAGGTGAGTATGTAAGTAGGTGGGTAGGTAAGTAGGTAGGTAGGTAGGTGAGTAGGTAAGTGAGTAACTGACTAGGGAGGTAGTTGAGTAAGTAGGTAGGTGGGTAGGCGAGTAAGTAGCTAGGTAGGTATTGTAGGTGAGTGAGTAAGTAGCTAGGTAGGTGAGTATGTAAGTAGGTGGGTAGGTAAGTAGGTAGGTAGGTGAGTAGGTAAGTAGGTAGGTATGTAGGCGAGTAAGTAGCTAGGTAGGTATTGTAGGTGAGTGAGTAAGTAGCTAGGTAGGTGAGTATGTAAGTAGGTAGGTAGGTAGGTGAGTAGGTAAGTAGGTAGGTATGTAGGTGAGTAAGTAGGTAGGTATGTAGGTGAGTATTTTCAATTCTTCTGAATTGCCTGCAGACAATTAAGGGAAGACATACTTAGCAAGGAAAAAAGAGCATTACCATAATCAATGCCGGATGAAATTAAGTGTTGCATGTACAAGCATCTCCAGCTCTGCATTTAAAACGATTTGACTAAATGGACAGATGGAAAGATGGATAGATAGAAAGATGGATAGATGGAATGATGGAATGATAGATGGAAAGATGGATAGATGGATAGATAGAGAGATGGATGGATGGATAGATGGGTGTATAGATGGATGGATAGATAGATAGAAGGAAGACAAGATAGAGTTAAAATATCAGTCACATGTAAGTATTTCATGGTTTCTACAAGTAGCATTAGAAACTAGATTTATAATCTCTGTTCATATGAAGCTTCAAGAAGAGATGCAGCCCCAAAGAACTTCACTACAGGTGTTCATTTTTGTGGTGACACCATCTGTACACTCATCATCAGAGATAGTGCAAAGAATAACTGATCCACTGAAGATCAGCCTGATTCCAGTATCTTTTTCTTTTTTTTGCCCTTTTTTACCCCAAAGCTCACACTGTATGAGCTAAATGAACACTTTAAATAGCAGCACATGCGCAGAACTCTCTGTAACCCACAGTCACAATATAAATAGCATTATTTTACCATTTAATGGGCCAGCCATTCTAAATTCATAAACAAAAACCTCTCTTCTCTGTTTAAAGAACACAGATTAAAAAATGCTGTTTTTTTCGTTGTTTTACAAATGTGTTAAATTCAGCAAATAAACAGTAATTGTGTATTAAAATGTGCAGAAGCGTGTTCTCTGTAGAGGATGTGTAACCCCCTTAAAATCTCAGGCGTATTATTCAGTAGCTACAGGGACTTCAATGCAAACTGGCTGAGCTCTTCTTAGGTTGTAGAAGTGTGTAATAACACTTGAGTAGGCCTTGGCCGTTTGAAGGGTTAACTTATTTTTGCTTAGATAATTAACAACATGCCATTTAACCAGGGCTGCCCAAAACTTTTGCCGATGACTGTAATTATGCTTCAGCATGAGTGCACTTACCTGCCTCACGTTGTTGATCTGAAACTCCAGTGCAGATCAACCGAAATCAGAATTATAAACCTGCTGATTTCCGGTCATGTTTGGAGAAACCTGCCGGTTCTGATCTTGTATTTCTATTTTGTGCAGTACTGTAGTAACACCAGAGTAGAGCTACTGAAAACACCAAGGCCAGCATGTTCCTCCACCGGATTTCCATTAGATTCCTTCCTTTCTAATAATGAAGGCAAAGATATTAATGAAAGCAGGTGCCGTATTGCAGGTTGGAACATGGCGGGACTCTTTCTGATTAACTCGGAAGTGGAGTTTGCCTGAAAATAGTTTCATATTGTATGATCTACTCAGCTGTATCACATATTCTTCATCTCATCTGCTCTCTGCAGTTCCGTCTCCCTTCTTTCTCTGTGGTACAGTGCGAGAGAAGTTTGCCAAATCTTTGTAGTCTAACTCATGAATATATAAAAAAAATATTTTTTGATTCATGAGAAATGAACAGCTTCACTTTTGATTTTGTCTCCTTCGTTCTTTTACCAGACATGGACTGGTTGTGGAATCAAGATGCATCACGTGATCTGCTTTTGGCCGTGCACCCCCCCTAACTACATAGTGCTGTGGAACGGAGACACAGGGACCAAGCTGTGGAAGAAGAGCTACGCTGAGAACATCCTTTCCTTCTCTTATGACCCTTTTGAGCCCTCCAATCTGGCTTGTAAGTTTAGAGATTTCTGAAAGTATGTTGTACAGCTGGATCATATTATTTAGTGTGTAGTGAGTCCAGTTAATGTAATGGAAAATATACTGCAAAAAATGTTATCTTGGCAGGTGAAGTTGTGTTTAATTTAGTCAATATATCTAATATTTCTCATGTTGAGATTTTGCCTGTTTTAAGAAGCAAAACACATAATAAAATTACTTATAACAAGTAAAATGTGTCCAAAATAAGTTAAAAAATCTTAGAATATAATGTGTTTATGTGTGTGTATATATATATATATACACACCAATCAGGCATAACATTATGACCACCTCCTTGTTTCTACGCTCATTGTCCATTTTATCAGCTCCACTTACTATATAGGTGCACTTTGTAGTTCTACAGTTACAGACTGTAGTCCATCTGTTTCTCTGATACTTTGTTAGCCCCCTTTTACCCTGTTCTTCAGTGCTCAGGACCCCCATGGACCCTCACAGAGCAGGTACTATTTGGGTGATGGATCATTCTCAGCACTGCAGTAACACCGACGTGGTGGTGGTGTGTTAGTGTGTGTTGCGCTGGTCTGAGTGGATCAGACACAGCAGTGCTGCTGGAGTTTTTAAACACCTTAGTGTCACTGCTGGACTGAGAATAGTCCACCAACCAAAATATCCAGCCAACAGCGTCCTGTGGGCAGCGTCCTGTGACCACTGTTGAAGGACTAGAGGATGACCAACACAAACTGTGCAGCAGCAGATGAGCCATCGTCTCTGACTTTACATCTACAAGGTGGACTGACAAGGCAGGAGTGTCTAATAGAGTGGACAATGAGTGGACACAGTTTTTTAAAACTCCAGCAGCACTGCTGTCTGATCCACTCGTACCAGCACAACACACACTAACACACCACCACCACGTCAGTGTTACTGCAGTGCTGAGAATGACCCACCACCCAAATAGTACCTGCTCTGTGAGGGTCCATGGGGGTCCTGACCACTGAAGAACAGGGTAAAAGGGGGCTAACAAAGTATGCAGAGAAACAGATGGACTACAGTCTGTAACTGTAGAACTACAAAGTGCACCTATATAGTAAGTGGAGCTGATAAAATGGACAATGAGCGTAGAAACAAGGACATGCTCATACCTGATCGGTGTATATATGTATATATATATATTTTTTAGTGATCAAGTATTTTCACTAGAGATAATGATTTAATTTACCAATATACCATTTTTTGCAGTATAAGATCATTAATTTTTGCTCACTTGTTCATTGTAGGCCTGCTACGTGAACCCCATAATCAATATGACAATACTTTATCGTTACCATGATAAATGTATGTTACACAATATGCTTTTCAGAGCATGTTGTAGACGTGATCAGTAATATGAACCCTGACCAACTGCATCACAGAGAGAACATAATTAGTCCTTTTTAACTGGATTCAGTGCAGTGTAGTGTCTGAAATGATGAAAATAATAATTATATTCATAGATTTTGATGGTAGGTTTTAACTGTGAATCTGCTAGAGTATTTTATCTGTGTCAGAATACCGTGATACGTCTTGTGTATCATGACAAACTGTTTTTTTTTCCATAATGCATGTCAGACATGCAGTATCATAAAGTATGTTCACCACTGTGAACATGCATGCAATGTTTTCAAAGCATCTATCCACGAATTCCTCACCCTGGAAAAGACTTTCCGTGAGCTCTTTTTTAAAACACAAAGAAAAAATAAAAAAAGTCCAAAACATGAAGAAAAAAATGTGTTTTCAAAAAAGCCTCCATTTCCATATGGATGAGCAGGTCTGTGTGCATTAGCGCACAAACGCTCCGAAAACAGATGAGTGTAATTCTGCCGTACAGTTTAGATGCACATACAGCTCTTTTCCTTTTGCCCAGCGGTGCTTATTGTGCCAAACTAAAACAGAGCTAAAGTAAGACAGACCCTCGGTCGTTTCAGAGGGTTTTTCATTTGCTGTATTTTGTGGAAACCGCTGCCAGTCTAAACTAGGCATGTGGGTGCAGCCTGTCAGACTAAAGTGGAAGGGGGGTTGGGGCTTATGCTGTAGACACACCTACTTTCAAATAACTGGGCTTTTCTGAAGTCTCGAATTTCAGAAGTTGTGATTTTTGAGGACTGTGTTGTTAGAGAGTTGTGCAGCAGGTGTTGAAAAAGCTTTATGCGAGAACACTCGCATATGAGCCATACTAATCTGTTTAGTAGACATTTCTAGCATATCCACATATTTTTAGCAGCATCCACAATCAAAAGGAATCTTGACCTCAGCCCTAAAAAACAGAGCTGTGCAAAAGTCAGAGACCACCCTTCGTTTGGTATAGTGGTGGTTGGTGTTGTGTAGTGGGTAACACCACTGCCTTCTACGCTGTAGACTGGGGTTCAATCCCCTGCCTGGGCAGCACCCTACACTATACCAATAAGAGTCCTTGGGCAAGACTCCCAACTCTACCTTCACCTACCTGTGTAAAATGATCAAATTGTAAGTCGCTCTGGATAAGAGCGTCTGCCAAATGCTGTAAATGTAATTGTTTATGTAATGTCTAGTTCAAACAGCCGTTAAGTGCAAGTTATTAATGTTTTCTGAGGTATTTCTGAGGAGATTAGATATAAGATGATGCACTTGCGTAAGGAAGGAGAACGTCAAAGGAAAATACCAAACATTTCCACAAGCGTTTCCAAAACGGGAGATTAAAAAAAAAGATCAAAAACTGATTAAAAGCTACAGAGAAAGTGGGGCTCCTAACAACCACCTGGAAGACCTGGTAGACACCAGAACTGCACTTAAAGCTTTCATCTTTGAGAGAGAGGAGAAAATCAAGCTGCTTCAGATCTGAAAACATCCACAGGTGTTTCTGTCCATCCTTCCACTGTGAGAAGACGACTCAGCGCTGTGGGTCTGAAAGGATGTGTAGCTCAAGTCAAGTCAAAGTTTATTTATACAGTGCTTTTTATATCAGGTGTTGTCGCGAAGCAGCTTTACAGAGAAATCCGGGTCCGAGCCCCTGTGAGCGACAGTGGCAAGGAAAAACTCCCTAAGAGGCAAGAGGAAGGAACCTTGAGAGGAACCGAGACGCAAAAGGGGAACCCATCCTCCTCTGGTCGACACCGGATATCAAACAGTAACAAAAGAGCAAGATGAACAGAGAATAAGGTTCTAATGTTAGTATAAAATATTAATATACAGAAGGGGAAAAGCAGGTGAAGCAGTGGCTCTGATTAAGTAGTTTGAGTCTGTGCAGCAGCAGCATCATTAGGAGGGTCAGTTCATGCAGATGAGGTTTGACAAGTGTTGCACAGCAAGAAGCTCCATGGTGGTCAAACTGGTCCAGGAGACAGGTGAGCAGTGGGCACCCACTGGGGTGGGCATCAAGGCAGATAAAGCAACATCATCCGACTGCACAGGGTGTCAAGAGGCCCTCGCTGAGAAAAGGAGACAGACACATCAAACAAAGAAGCTGCTGGTGTTCTCAGAACAGTGGACTAGAGGTGGTCCCTGACTGACTTTTGCACAGTATCATTGCACCCCTATATTGCAAACCAGCAAAAAAAACATTCTCATTTATTAAGAACATTTTGAACTAGGTGTCCGGAATATTGTGATGGTGGCGAAGCTCCCATAGTGAGCTAAATAAAACTCATAAAACCCATAAAACTCAGTTTTGTCCCACATATTACTCAACAGTTTTAAGTTAAGGGAACGTTTTTGATGATTTTGTACACTCAAATGGCATTTTTGAGTTGAATTAACTTATTGCTATTTAGTTTAGTCTGTTGTCATGGCAACTTTGAAATCCTACATTCAAAAAATGACGACATTTCTGTTGGTTTTAATTGTTTTTTCTCACTAAAGTTGCTGAACAAATGTGTGAAACTGAGTGAAGCTAAATTAGCTGTAAAATACAGTTACATGTTTGTTTTGTTTACACGATCTTGTTAGATTAAACATATATTTCTTTCCCATTGGCTGTTGGCTCCATCTATTTGCATATTGAGTGTTTCTTTCCGTTTGTTTTACTCACCTTCAGTGTGCTTTCGTTCACCCAGACTGCCTTTCCTCAAGCGTATGTGTTTTATATATGCTTTTCTCAGCTGCCTGACATTGTGTTGTTGGCTAAGAGTGAAGATTATCCGTCCCTTTGCTGATGAGTGGGCGTTTGTGTTGGTCAGTGACCATGTTCACAGTAAAGGTTAACTCTTTGGTGTTTGTCAAAGTGGTCATTATCACTTAATTAGAAAAAAAATCTCAATTGCCTAATGAAGCGTAGTTAAATTCCAGTTAAATATAAATTAGATATATTAAAATAGAGTTTACGAGTTGCACAGACATTTGTTTGTTAGCCTAACACAAAAATTATAGTTATTCTAACTCAAGTTTTCATTACACATTACTTAATTTTTTTAAGGCAACCGGTTTCCTCCGATTTTTTAAGTAAATTCAACTTACCCGGGCTTACTGCAGTGAGTGGGCTGAAGTGTTTTTGTCTTACTTCTCTTTTATTCCCTCATTCTTGTAGTGCTGACCAGTGAGGGAATCGTCTTCATCACAGACTTCTCCCCCTCCAAAGCCCCGGGCAGTGGTGGCAAGAAGGTTTACATCGCCAGCCCCCACTCTAGCCCTGCCCACAGCAAACCTGCTGCTGTCCAGCCCACCGGTGCCAAGAAGGCCCTCAACAAGGTCAAAGTTCTCATCACCAATGAGAAACCCACGTGAGTACTTCCACAGCTGCCCATTCCACTCCATGGCCCGGGAGTGGATAGTTGTTTTATGTCTTGGCTTAATTGAAACAGACCCTTGAGTAGAAGCAGTTCTCCAGGCTATCTGGGAGCCGATCCAGACCAACAATGCTTTAAACACTGTTTACTGGAGACTTCAGGCTCTGCTGAACTGGCATTGTTTTCTCACTGTGAAAAAAGCCAGTCAATTCCTTAGTCGCCCTCAGAGAGTGTTCACTGGAGGATGACTCTGCTCTGCTGCGCAGGAGTCATTGCACTGGAGTGTCTTTGTTGGCTCTAAGACCAATGATGCCCATTCTTAAAAAGATGGTTTTTCAAGGGTTCTTTACTGGAGAAAATGGTTCTATGTAGAACCATGAACACTCAAAGAACCCTTTGCTTGATTAAAGGGGTCTTTGCATCATGAAAGCGTTCTTCAGATTGATGGAAAATGTGCATGAATGTGCTGCAGATAGTTCTGTATCGAACCTTTTTGAAAGGTTCTTGACGTCGTAACAATAGAAGAACCCTTTTGGGTGCCATATAGAACCATCTACAGTACATTGTCCTTTAATATGATGCAAAGAGCCCTTTAATAATGCAAGGGATTCTTTGAGTGTTCATGGCTCTATACAGAACCATTTTTTTAGTAAAGAACCCTTGAAGAACCATCTTTTTCAAGAGTGTAGTTTAGAGGCTGTGAAAGGACATTGGTGTGTGTGTGTGTGTGTGTGTGTGATTATTATTTTTTAAGCAAATGAAATATATCCTGTCTGTCTGCTAGAGAACATTAGAGAACATTGGAAGTTTATTTACTCATGATAGCAGGGCTGAAACATCGTTTAATATCAACATTGCATTTTGAAGGAGTGCAGTTTTCTAATGGTGTGAGCTTCAGTTTTAATCGTAGCCTAGTTTAGGCTGTTAGTTTAAGCATGGCAAATGTAACCCAATGACAGATGTTGTGAACTGCCTGTGGGTGAGTTAGACCAATCGTACGCATCCAAACCCCCCTGTACACAGCACAAACGTGGATATTTTGGTTTCTTGGCCAAAAATCAGGCCTGAAATTGAATTAATTTATAGAAACTAATCATATTTTCAGTCTCAGCCCTACAAGACTTTCCTTTTGGCTTCTGTTGTCTTGCTGCGTATTGAGTGGGTGGTTGTGGTATTAATCCTGTAGTGGAGAAGTTGTGGGTTGTTGTATCTGTTCTGCTGCTGTTTGAACTATTTGATCTATTTCATCTGCGTTAATTGGCAAACAACAATTGTTTTTCATCACTATTTCTCATTTTCAATACGATTGAAGTTGTTATGATTAGTCTTAGGTTTTGATTTTGTTCTGGGCGTGTTTAATGTTAATCAGTCAACGTTTTTGCTTTTCGCTTTTCTCTTTCAAAAAGTGCCACTTTTGGCCATTTTTTGGAAAGAAATTTCTGTGCATTCTTAATCTATAACATATGACTGATTAGACAGTACTTTTGATAATGCACTTAGTAAAAGAGCAGAAAACCTGTGGACTCGGAAAACACATACTGAATACAATTTTCACGTTTTCTATTCTGTTTTTTTTGTTTTGCTCTCTGTTTTTAATGTTTATTTTCATTTTAAAAGTTGCAACAAAACAAGTAACATTAGAAGCATTGAAAGGTTACAAAGAATAAATACAATTGCTGTGCATAGTTACATTTTCATTAAATGTTGAGAAAATGTGTGTGTATGTATGTATATATATATATATATATATATATATATATATATATATATATATATATATATATACGTGTGTGTGTGTGTGTGTGTGTGTATATATATTTTTTTTAGCCACCCATTAAAATGTGGATAAAACCTCACCATAATAATAATAATAGCTTTATTTATAGAGCACTCTTCATACTGGAGGCAGCTCAAAGTGCTTTTGCAGACAGGTGATAAACCAAGTAATACAAGAAATTGTGAGCATTACTTTAAAATTATGTATGTTAAATGTACATATAAGCATGTTAAAGAGATACATTTTTGAAATGTTTATTTAAAGTGTGCACTGAACGAAACTGTCTAATTAAAGATGAATCGAGTTCCACAGTTTAGAAGCAGAATAACAGAAAGAGTCCTTGTTTTCTGTATTTTACAGAAGGTGTTTGCAGAAGGTCAGTATCTGCAGATCTAAGATCACATGATGGAAGTTTTTTCTTGATTTAGTTGTAGAAAACTTTGCGACATCAGCTGAGAAATATCTGACACACAGCTAGTAAGCCTGTCAACGGAGTCTTGATCATCAGAAATAATGGAAATGTTTAATTGCATGGTTATGAAAATTGATGTCTTGTTTCCTAATGACATCACCTAGAGCTAACATATACAAAAGCAAAGGCCCTAAAACTGAACCTTGTGGCACTCCACAAGAAGTCTCTTCATTTAAATATGATTTAAACCGTTCTAAAGCTGTGCCTTAAAGACCTACCCAGTATTCAGGATGGCATTTTGATGGAGAGCAGTCATTATTTGTTCCTTTTTTCCCCTCTAATCTTGTGTTTGATCCTCTGTTCCTCTTCCTTTGCATCAACTTCTTTCTTTCTTTCCCCCCGCCATGTCTGCAGGAGGTTTTAGTCTGCATCATTGAGCAAGCCCCCTCTCCCTCCTTCTTTGATCACTCCACTCTGAACTCAAGGGCCTATCGTTTCTTTTTAATGGCTCAGTGTACTTATCCACATCCCATCAGCTCCCGCAGTCTCTGCAGTGGAGTCAGATTGGTGCGGTTTATTTACGGAATCGACTTTGATGGATTCCCACATAAAGAACCTGCCCTGCCGTCCATTAGCCTGCCACTACTGCTCATTGTGTTAGTGGAGGGGTGGAATCTAAGACAGGACAACAGGACTGTAAGAGCCCAGTGCATTAGGCCTGCCTTAGTGAAATAGCGCCTGTCAGTAAATGGGAATGCAAATGATGGGTGTGATGAATACCAGCCTCCATACTGGCGTCAACAAAGACAAAGGCATAAAATTGATGGTTGTATGGTGGCTGCCAGTGGGCAGGTCCGGGTAGAGCAGGCCATGGCCAGTGGCTGGTGGTTTGATGAATGTGACAGGAACAAGAGATTTGTAACTGTGACACTGATCTGATACCCAACATTGATTCTGGGATGATATAATCAGAAACAGCTGGATCAGATTTCAAAGGGAAGAAACTAATCCAATCTGATTATGTTACAAATCTAGCCTGAGATACTTCTAAATTGTTTTCGCCACAAATAACATAATATGAAGTGAAGTAGGTCATGTGATATCTAGGCGTGTGCCAGTCACCTTTGTTTCATTAACAGATGAAATGCACTGCTCTTTAGTAATAAAATATACCAGCCTTGCTTAAAATGTGAAAACATCTTTCCAAACTGTACAAATAGTATGTTTATTGTGGTCAGTTCCGCCTCTGCAGTGCCCCTCTGGTTCAAGTTCAATGACAAGTCACAGTATGCAAATCACTCGACCAATGTTACCGCCCCCTGATGACGCCCTACTCACGCCGCACTCATAAATATGAAAGTATAGGAGCCCAGAGTGAGGAGATAACCACTCTCACATGCTGACCTAAGTACCCCAGCACCACCTCAAATTTAGGCCCACTGCAGCAAACCCTGGACGACAGGTGAGGCAGTGTATGACCCCAACCTGGTCACATCTGTGAACAACCTGTTTGGTACGATACAGTCTCCCTGTTATACTTCTGTGCTTGGAATCAAACAGGCAGCATGCTAAAAGCAAGGTTGTGATGCTGGTAATGCAAGAGAATGGCTAGCATAAGCTAACTAGCTTAGGCTACAAAAGTTAGGTTAGTCTGTATGGAAGGAAATGATCCCTAATGGCCCAGTAGAAGTATGTTTTTCATAGCTTGATGTCAAAATGAATGAAACTTCAGACAGAGCTCAAAGAAATCCACTTTATTTATTCGGATTTCAGTACATCTAAGAAATCAGGACTCGGATTATATCAATTATGGACTGGCTGTTGCGGTTTGCCAATCATTTTCTGGCACTACGCTAACTTTGCGGTGGCTTGAGTCAGCGGCTCATACTGGTGAGGCTCAAGTCGCACTGTCTGATCAGAAACATTTTCCCCTGTCGAAGAATCTTCAACCTTGTAAGGTCTTGAAAAATGTTGTCTGATTCTGTCACTCTCCATTTTTTCTAGTAGCTAACTTTAGCTATAAAAACACAGCAGCCCAGCCCACCAGTGGTGGAGTTAGCTGAAAATAGTAGGGTGCCTTACTCTTTAAGGCAGATGTTTTTATAGAGAAATTGTGTTTTTGGCTGTTTTGCTGCCTATTTTCATGTCTGAAGCTCACACTGTATGGGCTAAATGAACACATGAAAAACACTATTACAGTGACAGCACTTATAAAAGTTGTAGTAGTAGTTATAAATAACATTATGTACTCTTTAAAGCTGCACTATGTAAGATTTAGGGATTTGGAGACCGCTCTAGTAGAGGTGTGTAATTAAAGAAAATTTCGTCGACATTTTGTGGGTTGTGCTTCAGCCGCCTTCTCCGATCGGATAAATCTGATGATTGAAAGAGAATTCAAAGAGAACTTGATATAAACTTGGTGAAGGACGCGTCTTCGATGATTTGAATTATCTACTGTTGTCATCATATCTTCATCAGTATAATGTTGATTTTGAGATAATTTGAGACCTAAACATCGAGCTGGACCTTCTTTTTGAGCCTGTGTGTGTGACGTTAATGAAGACGTTGACGTTAATATGTAAAGCCTACGATGTGGAAAAACTCCCGACCGACGCCTCTGACTTTAAAATGATTATTTCAGGCTTTACATGGTGACTTGCAGCAGCGCACGCTCAACATATTTTAACTTTTTTTTTTTCTCTTGACTGGGAAAAGTAGTAATGCTACTTCTTTAGTGCTGCTTTAATGAGCCAAGCAGGCATTTCAGATTCATAAAAGAAAAAAACAGTTACCGATTTACCAATT